AGTAAATTCGTACAAAATTTGTAATTAATAAAGCAATAAATAATTAATAATGAATGGAAATGTGCGCGAGGTACCTGATCAGTTCAGCTGTACAATTATTTTCGTGCTATTTTCATGAAAAGAATATAAATTAACTGCAAAAACAATTGATATTTATAAAAAAGTGTAAAATTGATTTAATTTTATTGTTTGCAATACGAATTATTAAATAATAATTAAGTTTTTATCAAATGTGAATAGTGTTGTGAAAACCTGTGAAAACTAATGAGTTACTATATTACCGATCGCATATGAGAGATGGCGCCACCAGTTTTTACAATACAGTGCGAGCATGTTTTCTTCCAAGCTTTTGCTTTGAAAGAAAATAAAAAGTGAATTTTAAAATGCAGAATAAAGTTATACAAATAATTATTGATTTCATAATTGTTTCTCGTCCAAAATTACGGACATGATTGCAGCTTTTTTGTTACACTCATCGAGAACTTTTTATTATCATATGCGATCGGTAATGTAGTAACTCATTAGTTTTCACAGGTTTTCACAACACTATTCACATTTGATAAAAACTTAATTATTATTTAATAATTCGTATTGCAAACAATAAAATTAAATCAATTTTACACTTTTTTATAAATATCAATTGTTTTTGCAGTTAATTTATATTCTTTTCATGAAAATAGCACGAAAATAATTGAACAGCTGAACTGATCAGGTACCTCGCGCACATTTCCATTCATTATTAATTATTTATTGCTTTATTAATTACAAATTTTGTACGAATTTACTCTATAAACATTTATTTACCCTTTTATCAACTTTTTTTTATCATAATAAGTCGATTAATAGCTTTTTTATACGTTTTTTTACATGTCTACCTAATGTCTACCTAAAGTCCGCTTAGTTAAGTAGACATTACGCAAATCGAATCCGCCAGGGATGAATTTAATTCATTTATTAATTAATTAGATATAATTAATCTCTTATCCCTATTAATTTCGAAAAATTTAGTTTAAATAAAAATTTTTGATTAACCCTAATACAAAAAGTAAAATAAATTAAATTACATTTTTATTAATTTTTATTTTCTTTTACAATAATTATAATTATTATTATTTTTTTTTTTAAATTTACTAAAAAAGATTTTTTAAAATTATTTAAATTATATAAAATTACAAACCCAAATCTAAACTCCAAAATTAATTTACTATTTAATCTAAATACACCTTCACTACAACGATGCTATAGAATTTTTATATGAATTCTAATAATTTTTAGTAAACTTTAATTAAAAAAATAAATATTTTGTGAAACAATTTAATAATTCAATGACAGTTTTATATGTATTGACTCACTTGATATGACACATGTGAATGTGTAAAAAAAGGACACTAAAATAACTTAGTTACTTACTTTATCTTCGTTATAAGTAACAGGATCGTCGCCAAGAAGATTTATGAATAAAAAAATTCTACATTTTCAACAACAGTGTTTAATTTTTTTTCTACCTCTCCTTACTTCAGTTCACCTTAGATTAAGAGAAATTAAGAACAACAAATTGTGTATGTCTTTTTCGAATATTTGAAAATATTTATGTGTATATGTGTGAGTATACATGTGTATATACTTTGCGCATATGTGTGATTATATATGTGTATGTGTATCGTGTATATGTGTGAGTGTACATGCGTATGTACTTTGTGTATGTGTATGAGTATACATTTACAAGTGTTTTGTGTGTATATGAGTGTACAGATGTGTATGTGGTTTGTCTGTAAGTAGTTTGTATACATATGTATTTACTTTGTGTATATGTGTATGTACTGTATGTTGTGTATATGTGTATATGTGTGAGTATACATGTGAATCAACTATATGTATATGTGCGAGTATCTACTTTGTGTATATGTGTGAGTATACATGTGTATGTACTTTGTGTATATGTGTGAGTATACATGTGTATCTGCTTTGTGTATATGTGAAAGTATACATGTGTATCTACTTTGTGTATATGTGTGATTATACATGTGTATGTACTTTGTATGTATGTGTAAGTATATATGTGTATGTACTTTGTGAATGTGTGTGAATATACATGTGTATGTATGTTGTGTATATTTTGTGTATATGTATGAGTGTATGTGTATGTGTCTTGTGTATATGAGTGAGTATATGGGCATATCTCTAGAACTTTTAAACTTTGAGATATTAGAAAAATTAATTTTTTTTTCAGGGCACATTCGTGAAACAAATTTTATTGTCTTCAGTATTGATCAAATACTATAAAAAAATTTGCGTAACTCATTTTTACACATTGTTACGCATCACAGTGGGCCTTATTGCAAAAAACCTGCCCAAAATCTCTAGATGTGTTTAAAACTGACTGAAATTTGATACTCGCGGATTTTTTTGGTCGCTGATTACAAATGCGACGTTAGTTTTTCAAAATTCAAAATGGCGGATCCAATATGGCGGACGACTTTTAAAAAAATTGATCGAATTTGTCTGAAATTTGTTACTCGGGGGTTTTTTGGGTCGCTACCACCTTTAAAATGATTTAATGCTACAGTTTCGAAAATTTTATGGCCTATTGCTTATTAAGTCATAAGTAAATGTAGTTTATAACAATTTTTGAATTTTTAAAAATTTAATTTTTTAAAAATTTTTTAAAAAATTTTGTTTGCAATTTTGGATCCACCATTTTCAATTTTTAAAAATTAAGTTCAGATTCGTAATCAGCGACCCCATAAACCCCCGAGTAACAAATTTTAGGCCAATGGGATCACTTTTTTAAAAAGTCGTCCGCCATATTGGATTCGCCATTTTGAATTTTGGAAAATTTAAAATTCAGATTAGTAGTCGCAGCAACCCCAAAAACCTTCGAGTGAGAAATATCAGCCAGATTTAAATACATCTATTGGTTAATACTTACTTTTCTTCACAAACTATGCGTCGGACAGTTTAGGTTTATATTCATTATTAATTATACAGTTTTAATGAAGTGTGCAAAGGTTAACTATTTTTCTGTATACTTTTATAATGCATGAGAAGAGATTACAATGAGTTGGGAGCATTTAGAAGCAAAATTCAACATGTGCTTTTCAAATATGTGGTATTTTGATTTGAGTTACGTTTTAAAATTTAATGTTTGAAGTCATTGCATTCTTTGTGTAAAGGAGGCACACATTCCTGTATGGGTTTAAATTACTTCTTATTAGGTAGATAATATAATCCCGTTGTGCCGTTACTCAAAAACCTTCGTTAAAAAAGTTATATCAGTTTAACTGCTAACTTGTAGAAATTTTGAAAAAGTTGTCTCGCAAGTTTGAAGCTACATAGTTTTTATTCAATTTGAGGCACATCATTGTTTCATGGATTTTTTAGTTCTTTACACTCCCACCGACTCCTATTGCAAGCCACAAGACACACAATGTTTCGTTAAAAAAGTTACAGTCTATAAACTAAAAAAACCAGTCAATATCACACACTAGAAACTGTCGATTTCACCACTTTAACTTACGTTCGTCATTTCCTACATAATTAAAAAAATTATATAACGCATGATACATATAAAAAGCCCTATAATTGGTCAAATTATGGTATTGAAAAATTATTTAAAAAATTCTTAAGGTATCATAATGAGCGATAACATAAAGTTTAAAAGTTCTAGAGATATGCCCATATATGTGTATGTGTCTTGTGTATATGTGTGAGTATACATGTGTATGTACTTTGTGTATATGTGTGAGTATACATGTGTATCTACTTTTTGTATATATGCGAGTATACATGTGTATCTACTTTGTGTATATGTGCGAGTATACTTGTGTATATGTGAGTATACATGTGTATCCACTTTGTGCATATGTGTGAGTATACATGTGTATGTACTTTGTATGTATGTGTGAGTATATATGTGTATGTACTTTGTGTATATGTGTGAGTATACATGTGTATTTACTTTGTGTATATGTGTATGTACTGTATGTTGTGTATTTGTGTATATGTGTGAGTATACATGTGAATCAACTATGTGTATATGTGCGAGTATACATGTGTATCTACTTTGTGTATATGTGTGAGTATACACGTGTATGTACTTTGTGTATATGTGTGAGTATACATGTGTATCTACTTTGTGTATATGTGTGAGTATACATGTGAATCAACTATCTGTATATGTGTGAGTATACATGTGTATCTACTTTGTGTATATGTGTGAGTATACATGTGTATGTACTTTGTGTATATGTGTGAGTATACATGTGTATGTACTTTGTGTATATGTGTGAGTATACATGTGTATGTATGTTGTGTATATGTGTCAGTATACATGTGTATTTACTTTGTGTATATGTGTGAGTATACATGTGTATGTATGTGAATATATTTTGTGTATATGTGTGAGTATATATGTGTATGTGTCTTGTGTATATGTGTGAGTATTTTTGTGTTTGTGCTTTGTGCATGTGAGATTATGTGCTTTACTTATATATATATATATATATATATATATATATATAGCGAAGATATCGGTAAGGGCAACGACGACGACGACGACCTACGAACAATCTTTTTAATATAATAAGGAAAGTTATATTATTTACACTAAAATATTATTTTTTTTAATATAGAAACATGAATCACAAGAAAATTAGGATAAACGCACTGTGATTTGGATGGCAAAAAAAAGATTCCCATTTAAATTTTTTGATGATTCGGAAACAAAAGCATACTTCAATGATCTCAACCCAAATGTTAAAATGCCATCACGGTCAACGGTTCAAAGAAAAACTCTGGAAGAGTTCAAAAGAGTAAAATAAAATGTTAAAACTTTATTAAAGTATAATTCTTCAAAAGTGTCGTTTACTATGGATGGTTTTACCAGCATAAACTGAAATTCATACTATGGTGTAACAGTTCATTTTATTGGATCAAATTGGAAACTGCGTTCGTTGGTTTTGGATTTTATTCCAGCTAATGGCTCTCATACAGGAAAAGCGATGGCTGAAATGTTCTTAAAATGCATTACAGAATATAATTTGCAGGAAAAAATCCAAGGAATAACTTTGGACAATGTAGCAGCAAATTCAACATTTATGATGGAATTAAGTAAATTATTGATTCAAGCAGATTATAAATTTGATCCCATTAACCAACATTTTAGGTGCTTTGCGCACATATTCAATTTTGGTGTTCAAGATACTTTAAAGGTAATGAATGTTGAAGAAAATGAAAATGAACTGCAAGAAGAGAATGAACAGAATTTGTCTGAAAATAACGAAGATGACTCTTTATCTGATGATGAAGATTCAACAGAGCTGCCTTATCCAGCAACAGTAATTTTGAAAGTAAGAAAGACCTTCGTAAAGCTTCGACGATCTGAAGATTTGCAATTAATTTTGCAAAGTTTCTGTAACGCCTCAAAGACCAAATACATCAAACCCATTCTTGACGTAAGTACAAGATGGAAAAGTACCGACAACATGATAGAAGTTGCATTAAAAATGAGACCTGCATTAAATCTATTCTGGAAGAATTGTGATAAGGTTGCTGACTTAAAATTAAATGATGACGAATGGTCTCTTTTGATTCAAATCCATAAATTTTTAGGTGATTTTAAAAAAGTTTCTACTCTTCTTGGAGGTGACCAATATGTTACTCTTCCTCTTGTGATTGTCGCGTTCAATCTTCTCGAAACTAAAATAAACAAGACGATTTTTTCTTTGGACGAGAAACCTGATCGAAATACTGTTGACGAAATACTGTTACTAGCTTTTCAAAAAGGACGAGATAAAATGTTGAAACATTACCATAAAACTAATTGGTTCTATTGCTGTTCGTTAATCTTGGATCCTAGATTTAAAGTGGAAACCTTCGAACTGACGGAATGGGGACAGGAAATAAAAGATGCTTCTATGGAGTTTTTTGAAAGTATTTTTCGTCAAGAATATTGCAAACTTATCAAAGTCTCGACTCGTCTCGTCTCGTGAGAAGCCCTAACATTTACACAAAGTTGCAGCTTCTAAAAAAAATTGAATTTCTTTTTTTTAAGCTGCCATTTTGTGTAAATGTAACATTTTTTCATTTCTTCGATTCAAAACAGGATTTGATATTATATTACCTAAATATTTTTCATTTTTTATTTCAGATGATTCAGTTGAAAATCTTTTGCTCACCTAAAACACCTTTTTTTAGAGAAGCCGGGAGAAAATTGTTGCAGAAGTCACAAAAATCAATACTTTTACAAAATTAGAATGTTTGTTTTCACTTTAAAATTAACATAATCTTATAGAGAAAATTTCATTCTTATAAATTATTAATAAATAATTATACTGCTATAATTTACTAATTGTGGTTATTATTTTAATTAGTTAGAATAACTATTTCATTAGTTGGTTTAACTAATAAGTTTATTTTTAATTAGTTACCTTACTTACTAATTGGTAAGAGTAACTAATATAAATATACTTACAATATGGCAATCGCAACCAATCGTTTCTCTCAGTGAAGAAATATATAAACTTGAAAAACAATTATTTCCATAAAATGTAGTCCATTTTCGATAATAATCCAGGTGGAAAAGTTTCCGATAGCAGGCTTCACAGCATAAAATTTCCAAAAAAAGGAGAATAGAGACAATTATATTTCAAAAAAGGGAAAAATAGGGTAAAATCTAAATGTATATTTTTCTTAACCAAAATGCTTTAAAGTTATTTTAAATTATTTTATCATACCAAAAACCGTCTTGTAAAATATACAAAACTTGATTTTATTAAAATTTTTCAAAGAAACTGAAATGTTTAATTTATTTTTTCTGAAAAGGAATTCCATTAATTTTTCCATTAACCCTATGCCCTTGAATTGTAAGGTTATGTTTGATCCATGACTAAAATACTAATATAGGTATATATGTGAGTCAAGAGTAACCAACCTAACCTAACCTTCTCAAACACATGGGTTCGGTAGTTTTAAATTTGAATTGAAAATGATTAATAAATCAAAAATTAAAATTGATTATTATACTTAATATGATAAATACGATATAAACAGTTTTTTAAGTCATAAGGCTTAAGTCGTCTTCAACCGTTTCTTAAGCGAACAGTTCATAATGTCTTCTAAGACCTTTTTTATTTCAAACAAAAGATTTTTCATATTTTTATATTTGAAATAAAAACTATACCTAGATAACACGTCCCTCACAACAAAAGGATATCCTCAGGATATCCTAAACTAATGTAGGATATCCTGAAAACGTCCATAGAATATCCTAGGATATCTTGAGGATATCCTCAGAACATCCTAACCGCCGTTACGTAGGATATTTTTGGGATATCCTGGGGATATACTGAGGATGTTAGGTTTCCGTAACCTTACCTATCATCTTTCAAATCTGGGCCTTAAAGTTGATAATTAGAGCTTATATTTAAGCCAAAAATGCGATTTTCGACACCTTAAATTCGTTTTTTATGGGACTGACCGAATGAAAAATTTTTGTTCTAACACACGCACCAAAAGTACATAATTTCTTACCTGTGTAGCGGGAGAAACGTATGTCTTTTCCGACGAGCGGGAGGGAAAGTTACATTCCCTCTCGGTGACGTCACTGAGCGGGACGGAAAGTTACTTTCAGTAGATATACAGTGCCGGTTCTAGATACAGATTCCTGCACCGACATTTACCGACATATGAAATAAAAAATGGTTCTAATCCATTCTAATCGAGAAACTTCTAAAGAGATACAAAGAAAAAAAATTTTTCCTGAAAATTCCCCAAAAACTTGTCTCCCAAAATTTGTAAATTTTTTTCAAAATTGAGAAACGAATAAGTATATTTATGAAGTATAAGTTGACATACAGAGTTTCACTATATCTCCTGATCATACGGTAAGTAGAAAATATTTTTCAAATAAATTTGGTTTTCTTAATATTTAAATAAATTGTTTAATTATTTAATAGAATAATAATTATACAGATATTATCAGAATAAGGAAACATCACCTGTTAATGTTATAATTGGTTTTTTGCATGGATGATAAAAATAGTTACATACATTTCAGAGAGGAATCATCTGGAGTGTAATATGAGATATGTCAGCATATTATATTATATTATGTATAAACGTAGAGATGAATGAACATATGTTTTTAATGTCTGAATCATTCCCTTGGAATAAGTATATGTATATAATAATTAGAAAAGTCCAGAACCTTTTACAAAGCGAATTTAAAATTGAAAAAAACAATTCTAGTGAATCCTTAAAATTAATTGATTATTTCAAGAAGAAGTAGATGATAATGATGATTGATCCAATAAATAAAGGAATTAATTAATTACACAGCCCCACAAAAAAAAGTGTCATGTTCTTTTGACCGGAATACCCTAACCCTATGTATTTTGACGCGCTGAACACGAATCCGCAGTCCGTTTTGCTCCATCACGTCAGGACTTTTTTCTAACCTCAAAAAACATGTCGGATTTTGAGAAGTAGGCGATTTTTTAAAAAATTGATGTATTAACTTCAAACTTAATATCTGGGGGTTTTTGTGTCGATGATTACGAATCTGAAGTTAGATTTTCAAAATCCAAAATGGCGGATCCAATATGGCTGACGAATTTTGAAAAAATTTTAAGATTTACTTCAAACTTGGTATCTAGGGGTTTTTTGGGTCGCTGATTACGAATCTGATATCAGATTTCAAAAATTCAAAATGGCATATCCAACATGGACTTCTATCGGCCATATTATAGATACGCCATTATCAATTTTTGAAAACTGACATCAGATTCGTAATCAGCGACCCAAAAAACCCCCAGATACACTATTGCACATTAATTTATAAAAAATTTCGTAAAATAATGTCCCCCTACCAAAAAAAATTCAAGGGGTAGTTCCCCCCATAAATCAGCTTTTGGGGAAAAACAAAACATACGTGTCAAATTGTTTTCAAAAAACTACAAAACTGCCAAGTTTCAGAAAAATCGGCGTATGGCCCTTCCCTAGTGTTACTTGTCAGCAACTTAGAAAACCTGTAGCAAGAAGACTAGAATAAGGAGGAATAACTCTAGTGGTGGGGGTAAGAGATTGTTGAGGCAGTATTTGAGTCCAATGAGGGTGGACAGTATTTGCGCAGTAGACCAAATTAGGTTTCTGCGCAACCGGATGTGTCACTTGTACGTCAGATCCGTTAGACAGCTGGCGTGACAACAAAGCAGACGACAGAGCTTGTCAAAAGCTAATTTAAAGAGTGTTCAAATTTTTAATAAAAAATTGACAACCTATCAGTAATCTAATTTGGTATACTTGATTCTATTATAAAGTGAATTTGCTAACTAAGACCCATCAATTTTAATTTATTTAATTAATCACGTGTCAATTGTTTACCAAACCAACATAACCTAAATACATTCACACATGTATGCGCGGATGTTTCATTTTTTCACTACTGCGCAAACTACCGGAGTCCTTCATTGTCCTCCGAATTTGCTTCACCCCCACCACCGGAGTTATTCCTCCTGTTTCTAGTCTTCTTGACCTGTAGATACCAAATTTCGTAATAATCTGACAATTTTTTAAAAATAATTCCTTAATATTGAATCAGGCATATCGAATTTCGGAAATCTGACATCAGATTCGTAATCAGCGACCCAAAAAACCCATAGATACCAAGTTTGAAGTAAATCTTAAAATTTTTTCAAAATTCGTCAGCCATATTGGATCCGCCATTTTGGATTTTGAAAATCTAACTTCAGATTCGTAATCATCGACACAAAAACCCCCAGATATTAAGTTTGAAGTTAATACATCAATTTTTTAAAAAATCGCCTACTTCTCAAAATCCGACATGTTTTTTGAGGTTAGAAAAAAGTCCTGACGTGATGGAGCAAAACGGACTGCGGATTCGTGTTCAGCGCGTGAAAATACATAGGGTTAGGGTATTCCGGTCAAAAGTACATAACACTTTTTTTTGTGGGGCTGTGTTATGAGAAATTGGAATCATGAAATTAAATAAAAACTTACCAAATATAAAGTCCTTGCAATTCACTTTTACATGTTCTTTGCACTTTTCTGTTTTTTTCTTAATAAATATAAAAAATTTGAAAAATAAAATTGCCGCTTTGCTCATTTTCGCGACTTTTGAAAATCAATAACTTTTTTCCAGTAGAAGGGAAAAATGTGAGATTTTTGTAATATTTAAATATTCACTAAATAGAAACACACCAAAAGTCTCGCGTTGGTTTTCAAACTAGTTAGATAAAGCAAATCAAAATTTTTTTATTTTTGAAGCTATATTGACAACAATTTTTTTTCAAGTTGAACTTTGTTCGCCGACGTCAATTCTTTAACAGTTTTAAACTCAAATTTACCTTTTAAATAAATAAAAGAAAATAATTTTATAATTAAATAAATTATAAAATATATGAATGTACACTCGAATCTCGTTATAACGAATCTCGATACAACGTTCGCTTGTTATTACGAACACCAAAACTCTTTATATAACGACAAAAATTTGTCCCCTTTACCCCCACCAATTTAAAAAAAAACACGATCGAATTTAAATATGTAAGCTATTAGATTCATCAATTTAAAAAGTTTTTTGTTGCTCAATTAACTTGTATGAGGTTAAATAGTAACCAACTACATACTTAATTAGTTTAACCGCAATATTCCCTGGCGGATTCGATTTACCTAAAATCGACCCAGCTGGGTCGAATCTAAGTCGAATCTAAGTCGAATTTAGGTAATTATCAAAAAAAAGCTTTAAATTGATGAAAATTTATAAAAATTAGTATTGTGAGGTTAAATGAACATTCATAGAGTTAATTTTTGTAAGAATTTTAATTATTAACGTGATAAATAATAAATAATTACTTGATATGTGCAAGTGGTAACTGTAGATTTTAACTCGTTGTCAGTTTTCATAATATTTTCAGAAATTAGTGTAAAATGTGTGAAAAAATAATTTATATTTAATAGAAATTGCAAATTTTATTAAATTATTTTATTATTTAACAATCACATTTCATAATAATTGCAATTTAATTAAAAAATAACAGTTTTCTTAAAAGTGACAAGAACTCTATTATACCGACCACACACGGAACAGCGGAACGCGCGCCAAGATTTGAAAAGAGTTACAAATTTTAAACATTCATTAAATAGAAAATATGCAATTTTTTTCTTTATTTATAAAAAAAACTTTAGAATTTTGTTAAAATAATAAAAATTAAGCTGATATATTTTTCTTAAATTTTTACTTATAACTTTTTAAAAAATTCTTAAATAAAAGATCAAAAAATTTAGTTAAATTTGTATTTTGCCATCATAATTTTTTAACAAAATTCTTTTTCTTTTAAAAAAAAAAGTTGCAGATTTTTTATTTCATATTCACAATTCTTTAATGAAATTGTTTTTTAATACAAGTTATAAAAAAATTAATCATTTATTTATACTAATGCTAATAATCACTAATTTTAAGTAATAGGATAGCTGGAAATTTGTGCTCCCTGCATGCTGCTGCCATCTAACGGCGTCTGCAACTAATATAGTTCTTGTCACTTTTAAGAAAACTGTTATTTTTTAATTAAATTGCAATTATTATGAAATGTGATTGTTAAATAATAAAATAATTTAATAAAATTTGCAATTTCTATTAAATATAAATTATTTTTTCACACATTTTACACTAATTTCTGAAAATATTATGAAAACTGACAACGAGTTAAAATCTACAGTTACCACTTGCACATATCAAGTAATTATTTATTATTTATCACGTTAATAATTAAAATTCTTACAAAAATTAACTCTATGAATGTTCATTTAACCTCACAATACTAATTTTTATAAATTTTCATCAATTTAAAGCTTTTTTTTGATAATTACCTAAATTCGACTTAGATTCGACTTAGATTCGACCCAGCTGGGTCGATTTTAGGTAAATCGAATCCGCCAGGGTTTCGGTAATTACAAACAAATATTTATTTTTTGAAACCTTGTAATTTCACTTATAAAATAATCAGAAATTACTTACTTTTTTATCCGATTCCATAATTGGAAATTAATATCATTCGTATATGTATACACTAAAGAATGTTTATATTAAATGTCAAACAAATTTGACATATTGTAAAGTTGGTTACAGATAAATTCACGTTTTTAAATAGAATGTGAAGTGGGGGCCCCTCTTGTCATCGTTATATCGAGATTTTAAAGTCCCGACCTTGTCGTTATAACGAGATTTAAGTGTATGTAAATAATTTATTTATTTATAAAATAATTTTCTTTCATGTAACTTATTTAATTAAGAGGTAAATTTGAAATTAAAACACGTTAAAAACTGGACACCTGAGAACCAACTTCAAGTTGAAAAGAAATTGTTGTCAAAATAGCCTCAAAAAATAAAGAAATTTTGATTTGCTTTATCTTGAAAAATAGTTTGAAAACCAACGCGAGACTTTTGTTGTGTGTGTGTGTATTTAGTGTATATTTAAATATTCCCAAAACTTCTTACATTTCCATTCTACTAGAAAAAAATTATTGACTTTCAAAAATCGCGAAAATCAGCAAAATGGCAATTTTCAGTTTAAATATTTTTATATTTATAAAGAAAAAAGCAGAAAAGTGCAAAGAAAATCTAAAAGTAAATTGCAAGGACTTTATATTTGGTAAGTTTTTATTTAATAAATTCTAATTATATTTTTTACACTTTTGTGGTAGATTATTATGTTTTCTCGAATATTTTCTGCTGGCTGAAAAACTGTCAGTTTTATGCACCTCGTACACTTTAAATTCATATTTTAAAGTAAATAATAATAATTTAAAAAAAAATCTTTTCATTTCGTTATCTTGATAACTTCTAGATCATTCCTGCAAAATATCATAATTTTTAAAAATTAGTCGGCAACGACTTTGGTCGAAATATAATAGAATGACTTAAATGGATATTTGTTACTCGATATGAAGAAAGGGATCGACCTTAGAAGCAAAAAATTATAGGTTATGTTTTCAAATTTTGAAGTGAAAATACACAAAGAGAATCAACTTTCAATACGAACCATTGATGTTTAACTTTTCATTACATCCAAAATATTCAATAGAAACTGATTTTGATTTTATAGAAACAGAAAGAAACTTTTAAACAAGATAAAATTGTTTTAAACATAATCTATAATTGGTTTGCTTCTAAGGTCCCTTTCATCAGATCGCGTCACATTTATATTAACATTTGTCTTTCTTGCTTTTTTGCTTAAAGCCGAAAATTTTGACGTCTGTGCCTAAAAAATGTAATTAAAATGAAAAGTTCCATATGACGCAAATTTTGCAAAAATCGAACGCATTCTTCTTTTATCTAACCGTCAATTTTCGTTTTTTTTGACTTGTTCATAAACTTATTAAAGTTCATATTGTAGAGCTTCAAATATAACTATATTACTAAATAGGCTACCCAGACAGCACCGTTTTTCGCAGGGAGTTCGCGGGGAGTTCCCCGTGTTAAGTTCGGAAACTAAGTTGGGGAGCTTCAGGGGAAGTTTAGGCGAGCTCTATATGTCCTCGGTTTTATAACTCGCGGTGCGAAGTTCAGGATAGTTATCCGATTAAGTTTGCCGAAAACTTGTGGATAAAAGTTTAGGAAATATTAAATTTTGAGTTTTACAGAAATTTGCTTTGTGAATTTCTTTAAAACTATCTCCGGAAAGTACTCTAAATAAGATATATAGGCAAATTTCCTGTAAAATTAAAATACAAGTTTTCAGTGAATTTTATAAGGTAAGTTTATTATAAATGTTTTATAATATTTATTAAATAAAAGTAAAATTAAAAAAATTTATTTTTCCCTTATTGCGCTTTCTTTTATTTTTCCCCAACATTAACGGCGCAATTTTCGGAAATAAATTTGGAGGAGCTGGGGATTGAACCCGGACGCGCAACACAACAGCTAAGAACCCTAACCACTAACCTAACCAACAACCTGAAGGTGGGTAACTTTCGGGTCTTTATAAGCTGCAAGCCTTGTCGTCATCAGTTGACACGAATGGCGGGAAAATTTAAAAATGTTTTCAACGAAATATTTTTAAATTCTATTATTAAATTAGTGTCATAATTAAAAGGGCATTGAAATAATATTGCAATGTTAATATTAATATTATTTGTGAAACTAGCAGCTATATAAAACGATTTAAGGTAATTCTTTAAAAATGAAATTTATTAAATACTGAATCTCGTTATAAAAAATCCTGGACTTGTCAAATTTTTATTAAATTATTATTCAATTAAAAGTAACATAATTAGAAAAACTTTTTGAACATTTATCAACGTATGCTTATGGCTTTTATCATTAATTAATTAATTAAATTTACCGAGATGTATGGTGGACATTTAAATCGTCAATTTGTAATTTGATAAATTAATTTAAAAATTATCCACAAGTTTTCGGCAAACTTAATCGGATAACTATCCTGAACTTCGCACCGCGAGTTATAAAACCGAGGACATATAGAGCTCGCCTGAACTTTCCCTGAAGCTCCCCAACTTAGTTTCCGAACTTAACACGGGGAACTCCCCGCGAACTCCTTGCGAAAAACGGTGCTGTCTGAGTAACTTGCTGTAATTAAAAAGTTTTTTAAAAAATTATTTAATTCTGTTTATATGTTGTAGCCTTGGATCCAAAATAGTTTTAAATTTCCATTTTACACGATTACCTCTGTGAGGTTATGTCAGCTTCCAAATTATCATAATTAATGATGTTAAACGAACTTTTCATATCATTATAATGCCGTATAAGCCAATTTTATGTGAAAAATTATCTTTCCAGCTTGTTAATTTTAATCTAATTGTTATTTTATTCTATTCTATGTATTCTGTAGTCCTGATGAGTTGTGCGTACACAGCGAAAATGCATTCTCCTATTAAAAATACCTACGTAGGATCCGACGTTGGAAACTATTAGGTTTCTACGTCGTAATATGATCCGGTTTTGACGTCGGAAAATTAGTAGTAACCGACGTCGTAATGTACGTCGTAATATAGTTGGGAAACTTGATCGGAATTTGGGATAGGATCCCACGTCGGAAACTAAGTCGTTTCTTTAACGTATCCCATTAGGTTCCTACTAATAAATTTTTTAAATTATTTGGCAAAAAACGTAAATACTTTGTGATTTTTTTAGTTATTATTTTTGAAATTAAGAAACTGTAATTTGTAAGGTAATATTAATTATAATAATTATTATTTCAAATCATATTTAATTATTTTAATTTGTTGTAAAATTTATGTTTATTTCAGAAATTTGAAATGAATGTACAGGTAAATAAAAAATATTCAACGTAGCTAAGTTTTAATTCTTTCGCAGTCTAATATGATTTCAAATTCGGTAAAGCACACACAAACAACATTCCATCCAATTCCATAAAAATGAAAATTGTTTTTAATGAACTTGTCAACACAGCACATTCATCACCAAACTTTTCAACTTTCTTCAACATTTTACATGAATTGCTGAAAGTATTTGCTGTGTCTAACTTTTGAACAATTGCATATTCTGATTTGTTGAATCTGTCAACAACAAAACAATTTATTTTTACATATAAGTCATTATCCAACAAAGCATAAGTATTGTTAGAACGTCGATTATTTTTTGTCGATGACATAAACAAACAACCATTTTTCACCATTCGTACATATGAGACTGTATTTTCGGCAGAAAGATTTAATCTTTGTATCCACAATGTACTCACTGTAGAAGGAGAACCAAAATATCTGTGTAAAGAAAGTTGAAGCGTTTTTGCTGCCACATTACTACCAACAGTTGTATAAAAGTGTCTAATGGAAAAGGATGTTTCTACTCGTTTTTTTAACATAATCATAGAATACTGTAAGCTTATTCTGCGGCATATTTGGTGGTGTATTCCGTTTGCTGAATGAGTGGATCACAAAAATTTTCCATTTTCTGACTCAAATGCATATGTGACAGTCCTCGAGAGAAGGGACCTTAGCTCACCAGAGGTCAATATTGAGTTTTATATGGTAAATGATAGATTTTGAATTGCTTTTTCACATGCAAAGGCAAAAACTGATTAGGATAATTGCTTTTGACACAATAACATTTTGAAGATGGGTATGTCAAGCGCATTTCGAGGCGGATTGTGGCACTCAAGAAATCAGTCCCACTACTTTACTTACACAACTATACTCTCGCGTACGTGAGCTTCGCGTACGTGAGACCCGAAGATACACGAAGTAGACGAAGCTCACGTATACAGAAACACAACGTTGTGTTAGTGTGGTGGGGGAACTTTTCAGAAGTTCCGCCCCACTCTTCGAGTTCCGCGTTTCTGCTTCTTCTTCAAACGCTTGCCCTGTGAAATTCGTTTTGGTGAGCTAAGGTCCCTTCTCTCGGGGACTGTCACATATGCATTATGAGCCCATATTGGTCCCCAATTATATACACTTCGCGCCAAATGTAAAAGCGAATGAATATTAAAGGTCATTGCCCATTTAGAATACAATCTTTCTGTTCTAGCTACAAATTGATATAACATTTCATCAGCTAAATTAAGTTCAAAAAGTGATATTTCTTCCAGCATCAAAATGTATATGGCTTCAACAAACAGGGCCCAGTGATCAACATAATCTTTTGGCAATAATTTTTAAAAATTGGGAAACTATAAAATAGAGTCCAGTTCTCCCACTCTCTCGCTTTCCAATATTCTCTTTCAGAGAATCGACGAGACAATCGCCCGACTTAATGAGGGGATTTTATGTTACTCAAAAATAAATCAATATTACTTAAAGTCTTACGTGAGATTAAACCTACTTTTTGTTTAGTTCCAAACAACATATTAGAAATTTGTTTTGCAATCCTAGATACTAGGTGCATGCTATCAGGTACGCAACCGCGAATTAAATCGAAAATCATTAAATCCAATAAAGGAGACCGCGTTTTTACACCAAAAACTGGTTTTTTTCTGTAGCTGTTTCTACATGCTTCTTAGTATCAGAAAGAGTTCTATCTTTTGGAACATTATTTAACAAAGGAAATTTAATGCAACCTTGACATGAATTTTTGGATTTCCTAATCCACTTTCCTGGATGAAGGCACTGACTACAACCATATTTACCATTGAACTTTTTGAAACCTTGCACTGGGGCTCGTGCAGCTGCATCGACGCAGCAAACTAAAGAAAAAATTTTGATTATACTTTCGACACCGTCAAGAATACATTTAATTCCTTTGGTTGCAAGATTTGTTTGTCATTTTCACTTAATGAGTCAACAAATTTGCGGTAAAGCTTACCGTCATAAATGTCGTTAAAACAATTTTCTTTTCCCTTTCTTTCTTTAACTACAAAATTATAATAGTCTGAATTCGTCTCTAATAATTGCGAAATCGGAAAAGAAGGGTCCATTGTGATAAAAAAATTGTTGTAACCATAATCTTTGACATTAATTGAAATTTGGCACTTTTCACATCGAACATGTTGAGTTTTTCGGGTTTCATAAGCACCGATATATTCACTACATTGAGTACAATTGGCATGAAAAGTTATCCATTTTTTAGGACAAAACAATTTATCTAATAAGTATTTCGTATTTGGCCAAATTGGTAATTCGAATATAGAATTAATAAGACGGAATAAATTAAAAGTAGCAGTGAATGATAACGAATGGACAAGAGCATATTTGATAATTATTAGAATAATTTCACCGATAGACTTATTGACTGTTGCACTCGCTGGGGTATTGAATTCAGGTGCATTTATCATTTCGTCAAGTGTAGAGTATTTTTGTTGCGATGAAAAAAATGTTTCATTTATGCTGCTCTCATCTTCAGCATCGAAAAACCAATCGTTATCCTCAAGGGCATCCACAAAGAAATTATCTTCCTCATTGTCATTCTGAAATCAAAAACATATTATATTTCCTAAAATGGTTAATAGTAATGCACATGACAGTAATTAATTTGTAGGGAAAGCATCAAATAAATTGCGTAGAAATGTTAAGAATCAGTAATTACATATCATTCATAATTTGTAAAATAATTTATTTGATTATCAGTAATAATGCATTATATTATTTATTGTAATATTTTTAAGGTCTTAACTTCTTTTGTTTTTTAAGAATCAAATCAGCAAATATATTAATGGTCGTTTGGTATTAGAAATCTTAAAAATCCAAGACCGTTTAAAATCTTAAATGGATCTACTCCAATAGCTCATAATTACAAATAAAATCAATTAGTTTTATTATTTTAAGTATTAGTAATTTTTATCAAATTAAAAATTTTTAAACATTCCTACTCTATAAAGTTTTGAAAAACATTCACAGCTTTTTTTAAATTATAAAAAAATTTTATTTTATTTTTAAAAAAATAATAATTTAAATAATGAATGAAATTAACAAGTCTTACCTCAGCATAATCCTTCTCGTTATATACATTATCAATAGTGTCATCTAAACGATGAATGATTTCATGAGCTTTTTGAAGTATTTCCGTGGTAATAGTTGTACTACTATTCATTATCTGGAAATTACATGAAAATTATATTTTTCAGAATTAGCATATTTATTATAAATTATTTTTAAAGTTAAAAAAATAAGATATAACGAAATAAAACTTCTGCTATCAACATTTTTCCTTTTCTTAAAATTTTTTATGAAAAACTTGTAAAGCAAACTAGAGAAAGGTTACAAAAAATACTTCTATAATTTAAAGCAATGGGAGTCAACAATAAGTACAAAAACAAAATGCAAAGGCGTTTCGCTGTAAAGTTGCATATGAGACATTCCACGCCAAATTGACATATCATAAAAATTGACATTTCTAAATTGGCTCAAATTTTTTTACCTTTTTATACTCCATGAAAAAGAGGTCCATGATTCTTTTCAAATTTTTCTATGCAGCCGTTTAAGAGATATGACTTTTTCAAAATTTACAATTTTTAAGGGGAGACCGAGACGTCATTTCCAGCTATATAAAGGAATAAATTAAAACTTTTGACAAAATCATTTTTATACCAATTTTTTGCAAGGAATTCAACGGTAATAAACTAGATTGTGTCAAAAAAAATTTTGACCATTTTTCAAAAATTGAAAAAAAATGTATTTTTTGATAAAAATGAAATTTTTTAAAACCCATCCGTAATTTTGTAGAAAATATTTTTCGTTATCCAAAAAAAATTAACAGCTCAAAAATTTTGATTTTTGTATTTTTCATGTATTTTTTCGATTTAAAATACAAGTTTTTTTTCGTAAAATCGTCTTTTTTCAACATTATTGTTAAAAATCAAAAAAGAGAATAATTATTTACAATTATCTAAAATGTTTTTTTTTATTTCTAAAACATTAAAGATAATTGTAAATAATTATTCTATTTTTTGATTTTAAACAATAATGTAGATACATATTTTATTTATTTTTTTGTTTAAAGCATTTTTTAAAATTTTGCATATATTATGAGATGAAAGCAAAAAACCATTAAATTATGGTATTTTCATGGTTTTCACCATAAATATCGAGTGTTCGGTCATTGTGACTATTATTTTCATAATCAGCGAATAAAAATACATAAGAATGTGTAGTACCAAAATAATCAGAGGTTTGCCTGAGAAAATACTCAATTTTGATAATTTAAAAAAATCCTGAAAAAAAAGTAAAAATCATTTACCCACGACGGGATTAGACTTAAAATTTGCGTAAAAAGAAATAGTTTTGTTTAAAAATTATTTCAAAAAAATCGAAGGATACAAACAATTTTGAAAATAAGCTTTTAGCAATTAATTTACAAAAAAAAGTGGTAAATAATTTTTCGTTAATTTTTTGCATCAAATTTTTGAAAAGTCCATCAAAAAACTGAAATTTTTCATATACCGTGGATGTACCAGTTACCGTCCATGTCCCAGTATCCGTCCATTTTACAAATATCTCGTATAGTAGGGTCAACCGGGGTAAATCTGAACGCTTTTAGTAAGTTTCAACAATAACATAAGTTTTTTCTTAAAAAAAAAAAATACTTCCGGTATTCTGGTGCATGAAGTTGTTACTTTACTTCCATAGAACAATTTTATGGGGTAGCAAAAATTTTTGAAAAATTACAATCGCAGGAAACTTAGCGTTCGTATTTACCTCGATACTTTGCAACTTTCCTAAAATACCGGGGTAAATACGAACGCCACTGTATTTCAGAAAAATCTTAGGGAAAATAAATTTAAAGTATTGCAATTGTTAAACTTATATAAAAACTCAAAAAAATACGATAATAAACCTGTTATGTAATAATGCATCATATATAAATACAAAAATCAAACAGGTTAAAAATTAAAATGCATTACACAATTAAAACCTTCAATAACTTTATCAAATCATAACGGATTTTTGCAAAACTTGCTACAGAAAGTATTTTGGAGTGATTGAATGTAAATACAAAAATAAAAGTCAAATTTTTTAAATTCAAAATGGCGGACTTTCCTAAAACTTATTTTTAAAAGTGATCAAATTTGCTAACTCCAAATTCGTAATCAGCGACCCTGAAACCCCCCGAGTAACAATTTTCAAGCGAATCCAATGAATTTTTTAATTCTCGTCCGCCATTTTGAATTTTGGAAAACTGACTTCAAATTGGTAATTAGCGACCCCAAAAACCGTAGAATACCAAATTTTATTAAGATCCTGAAAAACTTTTTTCAACAAACCATTTGGCAAAAAAATTGAAACACTCCGTCGAGAGAACAGAGATTAAGTTTCTGCTTATTAATTACTAACGAGGATACGTATAGAAAGAAAAACTTTTTTCTATGTACTTTTATAATGTTAAAATAATAGTGTAATGAAATAAAAACAATTTTGTGTGGCTCTGATGTAAAAAAAATGATTGAAAATACCGTTCGGATTTACCCCGGTTTTCCAATTTTCCTGGGTAAATACGAACGGTCTGATATTCCCTATCGAAAATTCCGATATCGAAACCTATATAGGAAACTATATGGGAAACTATATAGTTTCCCATATAGTTTCCTATATAGGAAGCTATATATGAAGCTATATAGTTAACTATATAGAAAGCTATGTTGGAAAATGGGACAGGCAACGATATAGTTTACGATATAGTTTACTATGTAGGAAACTATGTCAATTCCGATTTTCTTTTTTTTTAATTAAAAAAAATATTATTTAATATTTTTTCACGCAAGAGTATTCTTAAAACTCTATTGAGAATTATAATTTCCAAAGACTACGTTTCCGGTAAATTTACGAAATCTCTGCAAAAACAAAACTATCCTGAAATGTTCCCAGCAAGTTCCGAAAAACATTTTTATGTAAATTATAAACATTAAACCAGAAAATATCTAAATTTTTCAAGGATTTTTTAAATAATCCTAAATTTTTTAAGTTTAAAAATTTCTTAATAACTACCTGTAATTTTAAATAAAACTTCTCTAAATTTACTGTTTAAATTAGAAAATTTAAAAACATTAGTACACTATAGGGTCAATTGGGGTAAATGTAAACGGATTTGCTTAGTTTCGACAATAACGTAAGTTTTTTATTTCAAAAAGCAATACTTCCGGTTTTCTTTTGCATAAACTTATTACTTTAGCTCCATAGAACAATTTTATGGGGTACTAAAAAATACAGGTAACTTTGAATCGCAAACAACTGCTGTTTAAATTTAGCCGGAGATTTTGCAAAAAATGCAAAATCTCGGGGTAAATGTAAACACCTTTATTTCTCAGAAATGTTTAAGAAAAAAGTAATCTTAAGTTTACTGCTGTATTAGGGAATGAAAAAACTTGAAAAAATCCGTCATGGATAAATAATAATTGAATAATCTTAATTTAATTAATTAAAACAGAAATTGAGCGTTTTGAGTAACTTTGATAAAAATGCATAAGATACGTCATTTTATTTATTTGGCCCGACATGGAAAATTTTAAAAAGTCTCCCACGTCAAAAAGAAACAATTTTTGCCTCGATATATTATACAATACATGGTTTAAAACTGCTGTTTACATTTACCCCGAGTTTTAAAATTCTCGGGTTAAATGTAAAAAGTTAATTATTTATTAACTAAATTTGACAAAGGTCAAAAATCAAAGTCAATTTTTGTTATACCATTTGTAAGCAATAATTATAAATTTTGGTTTGAATTTTTAAGTTTATTTTTATGCAAATGCGAGACAAAATACTGAAACAGTAAAACTTTGATTTTCAATCTTTTATGCATTAAGCGACAAATTGGAGTATGGCGTTTTCAATTGTCAAAATAAAAAATTGGCAGTACTCAGAACCTCTTGCAGGTGACTTGAGCTTAAAATATTGGGGTCGTACTTAATTTTAAATCTCTAAATTCAGCTGCAATATCTACTGTTTACATTTACCCCTTGTTTATATTTACCCTAAATGACCCTATAATAATTTTTTATCTAAATACACAAATATTGTTTTCCTAAGATGAAAATGTTTAAAACAAAAAATTGTTAATTTATAATTTTTGATACTTTTTTATTATTTAATTTTTAACATTATTTAAATAAATTTTGTATTATATTTAAATTCCTTGCCCTAATTAACACTCTGGGGTGTTAATAACACCTCAAACAATTTTCGAACTCTCAACGTTGACAAATTTTTTAATATTAAAAAATTTAAATTTTGCTTTAAAACCTATTGGCTCATTTTTGCAAACCTTTAACAATAACAACTAGTAATTTCAGTGAACTTTTTAAATTGTTTTATTTTAACAGAACATCTTTTTGGCGTTGGCTATATAACGTGATTTTAATAGAGAATGGTCATATATCTATGGTTGATCATTTTCACGGTTAAATTTTAATGGTCTTCTAACATCATAAATTTTTTGGGTCATGTACCCCCAAAATGCTTCGATTTTGTCCTCATCAACGATGCCATTCTTGGCCTTTTTCATGAGCTTGTTGCGTAAGTGATCTGGAATTTAAACAGAAAAAGTATGAATAATAATTATTTTTTTATCAACCCTTGTAATATAATAGTACATTGTGTGGCAAGGGCGGAAAGTTGTCAATTCCTGACCGAGTGTGAAGTTTGACGCCCGAGCGAAGCGAGGGCACAGAAAATTAAAAGGCATTAAAATAAGCTGCAACACTTATTATTTTAATCCAATTTTGCTTATTTTAATCCATTTTGGTATTAAAATAAGCAAAATTGGATTAAAATAATAAGCGTTGCAGCTTATTTTAATACCTTTTAATTTTCTGTGGGTGGAAAGCGCACGAGGTCAGAATTGGCAATTCCGCCCGTGTTGCACACGATGTTTTTTGTCTAATTGCAGGATAAACAAGACGCCAAGCTGTATATGAGGGTAAATAATAAGTAATTTGTATTAAAGATAATAAAAATATTTTTATTAAATCTAAGGCGGCAAAGGCTTACTTTCCGCCCGCTATACAGGCACGGAAAGTCGCGTTTATCGTGCATGTTGGACAAAAAATAAAAAGAGACTGATTACACAGTGCAACAGCATTTTTTTATTGGTACTGCAGAGGA